AGTTAAAACTCATAGTACAATAATTAAAAATGTACTTTATCAAATTAAGAAAGAAAAGCAAGAACATACATGCATCGACTTTTGATTGTATATTTTCTTTTAGATTGTAAATCTGCTTTGCTCATAAAAAATATATTTACTCTCTTTATTTTTATAAGTAAGAAAAAAGATACATGTACATCTTGGTTTGCGATGAATTAGGAGAAAAAAAATGAAAAAGGCTGAGTGGATGTCAACGTCTTGGTTTGCGATCATCCTGAGTATGCCAAGAAGTTTGCTGAAGAAACGTGGGCGAAGAACAAGGATGAATGTACATCTTCTCATCTGTATTTTGACCTTGATATAATCCTCGTCTTATTTGACTGACGCTATTGGATTTTGTACGCTGAGAAGGCAGCATTTGAAGAGGCAGAGAAGAAAAAAGAAGAGGAGGTACTTTCTTGACCATGATTTGTGACTTCATGTTTGCTTGCATCGTTGATATTATTGCCAAATGAGAAAACTTTTGATGAATTCAGAAATTGGAAAGTTGCTTTTTCAAAAGCCAATTATTAGTCCTGTAAATGCTGTCCATTACTCCTGCTATTTTCAAGTATGTCTTTTCTGTAATCCCTAACTGAGGCTATGGTTCCATATTGTTTCTAACTTAATTGTGAGCTTTTTAATCTTTTCATCAGGAATCTAAGGATGCAGTTGATTCTGATGTAAGTCACTGAGTATGCTCTGTTGTTTGGTATTAGTTGTTTGACAGTTCTGGGTTTTAACCTTGCCAAGTCAACTCATTCCCCAGGTTGAGAATAGAGACGATGCCGACAATGCTGAAGAAGATTCTGATTCTGAAACCAAATCAAACGGAAGTGAAGAGACCAAGGAAGATGTACATGCATGTAAGTTATTTACTGATTTACCGGTGTATACTAAACAACTCTATAAATTGAAATGCTTATGAATTGATTTTCTCTGCTCAATCTTTGCAGGATGAGCTTTGAGGCAAAAGCACCGTGATGTTTTGCTGACAATATGGGTCCAGAGATAGGAAGGCAATTAAGCTCCCCAAAATTTTTCCATGATCTTTTTTTATCTTCAGCTGTAGGATTTCTGTTTTAGTGGAGAACAAAATTGAAGGAAGCAATTTAAATTGTATGAGCCTTTAGAGCGAAGGTCACATTCAGATTATAAAATAGTTTGGACATTTTCTTTGCAAATATTTTCTTATATACAGACCATCGTCAAGTCCTTTTATTTCTTATTAATTTTGGCTCTAACCCACCATGGTGAAGAGTTGGGTAGGCATCTACATAATTGGCATCTAGGAGCAGAATACTTCGACATCAAATCTGCAGTCAACAATTTATTTAGCCAAAATCTTAATCTTAACTGTTGCACGCTGTTTGGTGAGAATGAGTCGGGAAACAACTCCATTAAGATAGTAACAGAATGATGCTCTTTACTCTCTAGTTGGGAAAAACTACTGGGTCTTTGCCGCCGTTAAGAATAGATAGAAGCCACGTTGTTAGCCAACCTTAAACTGCGTCCACCTCACCCCTACTCCTGCCACGCGTTTCCTGGCGTGCGCAGCACATCAATTTGGTTGCTGCTTAAATCATGTGTACTCGCAGTTTGATCCAGAATCAATCGTAAGAGCAGTGCTAGGGGCACTCGCTTTCTGCACTCTCCGGCCAACACTTCCCCTTTCATTGGGCCACGTAACCTTCTTGAAGCTTTCAGCGCAACCTTTCGGAAACCAAAATAACGTGGCCCAATAAAAGAGAAAGTGTTGGCCGAAGAGTGCAGGAGGCGAGTGCCCCTAGCATTGCTCTCAATCGTAAACCCAACCACTAATAATGTCACAAGTTCTCAGCGAAGCCACCAACACCACCACTTCTATCCTTGAGACCGCTACCTCCGCCATCCAAGGCTTCGGTTCCGTCAACAAAATCCACCAACATCTCTGCGGGTATTAACTAACCCACCAACTATTCATTTTTTTTTTTTGAACAGCAAAGACTATTTATTATTGAAATGAGTACAAGGGGTACTCAACCCATTTTACACTACTAGGAAGACAATCAAGAGATCATTACTTTACAACCGACCCTTCCATTGATGACTTTCCCTCTTCCACATCTATCTTTCATGCATTCAATAAGATTAAGTAGCCAATCAAATAAAGTAAAGGCATACCTGTCATTTCTTGCTTTAACCCATATGAAAGACCTCAGTTGAATTAGTTCAAACAGCTTCCTCGCATTTATCTTTTTGTGTTGAAATAACTTCTGATTGCGAGCAAGCCACACAGTCAACACAACCATACTCCATATGCAGTCCCATCCTTGTCTGGTTTGTGTCTCTTTGCTCCATTCTCCAAATTTTTCAAAAGTCTTCGAACAGTCGATGTCTAGTTTTGCCTCGGCCCCCCACCATTTGGTGCATGCCTCCCACAGCCATCGGGTCATCTTGCACCTTAAAAATAGATGTGCTGAGTCCTCTTCTTGTTCTTCACATATAACACACTTGCTCTCTTCCATGTCTTTAATTATCCCTCTTCTCAGCAGATTCACCTTGGTTGGTATTCTATCCAACATTAGTTGCCAGTTGAATGCTGATACTTTGGTCGGGAGAATTGGGTTCCATATTCTTTTGAATATTGTAGATCCACTTGGTCCGCTTTGATCAGTTGCTAATAGGTGGTACGCTGTTTTTGTTGTGTAGTGTCCCTCCTTGTCGTGAATCCATTCCCATTTGTTGGGGCATTCTTGAGTAATCTTGACGCCCTCTATCATTCTTTCGAGTTCCACGACCTCTCCAGCTTCCCATTCGAATAGATTTCTTCTCCATGTTAGCTTCCATTCCCATGATCCACTCCTTATGTTGCCCATTTGATTGCATGTATTCTCCTTCCCTGTTGACAGAAGATACAGCCTAGGAAATTTATTAGCAAGGCATCCCTCCCCTCCCCAATTATCCCACCAAAAGCTGGCTGATTTTCCTTCCCCAATTTTCATTCTAAAGCCCTCCGACAGCCATCCTACACTCTCCTCATTCACTCTATTAAGGCAGCACACATCTCTCCACCATAAAGATCCTCTTCCATTGTTTTATTTTATCCAATCTATCCAATGCTTCCCACCCTTACCAGATTTCATTGTAATTATTTTCTTCCATAGTCCCTCATCTACTTTTGCTAAACGCCCCCACCATTTCCCCATCAATGCCAAATTAAACTTCCTCAATTCTCTCACTCCCAACCCTCCATTAACTTTACTTTTGCATACATCCCCCCAACTTACCCAATTTATTTTCCTCTCCTCCGCCCCCCTGCCCCATAAAAAATGTCTACGAATTTTATCAATTGAAAGGAGTGTACCTTTTGGGATTAAGTAGGCTGACATTAGAACACGGGTAGAGAAGACAACACTGAATTAATGAGTGTGATACAACCTCCCGTAGAAAGGTATCGGCCCTTCCAGCTAGCTAGTTTCTTCTCAACTGATTGTACCATTGGTTGCCACATTGATTTCCTTCTGTTGTTCCCCCCAATTGGGATTCCCAGGTATTTAAATGGTAGTTCCCCTTCTTTACAGTGCAATCTGTATGCCATTTCTGTTTTCTAACTCTCCGCTGCTCCCACCCCCATTAAATGGCTTTTTTTGAAATTGATCTTCAGTCCTGAAGCCAGCTCGAAGGTCCTCATAATAGCCTTCACACTACTCTTATGTTATCTTCCGATGCCTCCCCGAAAAATACCGTGTCATCCGCGAATTGTAAATGTGACACCATGACACCTTTATTCCCTACCTTCACTCCTTTATATATTTCTTTTTCCACTGCCGAGGTCACTAAACCATTGGTTTAAGTACCATTTTGGTCCCTCAACTTTTCACTTTGGTACCAAAATTGTCCCTCAGCTTTAAAAAGTACCAAAATTATCCTTAAACTTTCATTTTCGGTACCAAAATAGTCCTTCCATCAGTTAAATTAACAGCTGGCACGTTAAAGGGACACATGGCACGTTAAATGGACAGATGATAGGTTAAATGGGTAGTTGGCACGTTAAATGCCACAGCATCATTGGACAACTTAATTTGAATCACGTGTAATTTCAGGTAAAAAAATTTGATATTTTTTATTATTGTTTCACCATTTTTCAAATTAAAAAATTTTTTTTATCTTTTTCCTTTTTATTCTTGTTCTCTCTCTTCTCCCTTCTTCCTTTCCGAATCAAACCCAGATCTAGGTTTTTCTCCTCCTCTCTCATCCTGCACATCGCTGGAACCCAGATCTAAAACCCAGATCTCCATTGTGTTAAACCTGCAGCATCCTGTTCAATAGATGTAAACCAGAGAACCATGCATTAACAACTCAGATTCCGCTGAGGAGCCTTTCGCCTTCAATTTCAAAATTCAGCTGCATTAAGCACATTTCCAATAATTAAAAGGTTTTGAAACCAAATCTCCATTATTCGGTTTCCAATTTAAACACTACTAAGTTAAACGAATTTCAACTCCCCTGCACTTTCTCAAGATCCAAGCAACACGAAATTGACATAAGATCT